CCTATTAATTTTTTTTAATGGAGAAAAGTTTCCACATGTGTATGCACCTGTTATCCCAACACTGAGAGGTTGAGGCCAGTCTGGACAACTTGGCAAGACACTGTCTCAAAAAAATTTTAAAAAGGGTTAGGGATGTATCCAAGGCCCCGGGTTCCATCCCCAGTAACAGTGGTAGAGAGAAACAAAAAGTTTAAAATAGTAACAGATGATAGGTAGAACTGCAAAACACATTTTATAGCTGAAATCGGGGCAGCTTGAGGTTGCAGTGAGGGGGATAGAAAAGCAAGCAGCTCAAATTTTTTTCATTGAAAATCACTAATGAATGAAATCAAGTCATTCAAATACTTAAGAACACACAACTCAGACCCAGACCTGTGGCTTAGAACCTGAGCACTCCTATCACTCCTCCCCAAATCCTTCCTGGAACTGTTCCCGATTTACAGAAGTGAAAACTTGGGGGGGGGGGGATTTCCCTAAATCTTGGTTGGGCCCATCACTACAAGCCTCTGAAGGTTGGGAAGGTAGTGTGTGTGCTTGCTCTCCCCCAGGCCCCTTTTACCTCGCCATCTCTTTGCTCTCTTCCGTTAACCATTAAGAGGGAGCAAGAGGATAAGCGTGGCCAAACCCCGTGTGCCAAAAGTAAGGCAAGAAAGCACCCCAGAATCTTGTGTGTATGTTGGGGGGGTGTTGACAGAATCAGGAAGGCCTCCCCCAACCTTCCAGACAGCGGAAGTGCGTCACTTGCTCCGACCGCAAAGCATTCTGGGAATTGTAGTAAAATTAGGGGGTGTGGAGGAGTGGCTAAGGTAACCCTTTGCAGACTGAAGCGCTCAGGGAGAATTGAACAGACTTGGAAGGCACCCTCCTCCTTTCTTCCTAGAGGAAGAAATTGAGGCCGAGGCTTGGCTCGACAGACCTCAGCCCTCTGTTATCTTCGATTGTGGTTGGTCCCAGAAATGGATACTAAGAGGAAGAAAACCAAGTGCCAAGAGACGAACCAAGTGCCAAGTACACACCCCCGCGACAACAGTTGCCGGCTTCCTGTCCCCTGAAACCATCCAATCAGGGCCTCTTCGCGCCGCCCCAGGTTCTGCTTTCCTAACCGTCATCAGTCCTTGTTTGATACGCCGGGGAACTGAGGCTCA